TTGAATAAGAAAGTCAAATAAGTTTCCTGTTGTATTACTGCTACATTTAAAGTTAAACACACTGAAGTATCTTATGGCTTAAGACGAGAAGAAAGACGAATGGCATGCTCATATATTATTTTGAATTCTAATAAATGATGAAAATTTTTTATTCAATACGCTCGTCGTATTGTTTATTTTTTTGATGTCTCAATGTTATGTTAATATATTTGTTCATCTTACAAACTGTTAGCACACTACTTGGAAAATTTTCACTCTGAGTTAAACATTCTTATAAAAAATCTGTTACATAAGTTTTACTGTAATCATCAGTTATCTGTATATACAATATTAAATGGAAGCAAAATCCATGTACATAAGGGATTCAAAAGTACTGTCTATATTTGAATTAATCATTGGAGTTTAAATATTGTTTCGCTTCACGTTAAAATAATACTTGGACTCCTTTATATTTCTTAAAAATGTTATTTTTTGTCGAAAAGTATTTGTTTGTAGTTAAGCACAAAGATACACAAAGTGCTATACGTGCTCCGCTCAACACGGGTATCGAAACCCGGTTTCTAGCGCTGTAAGTCCGTAGACACACCGCTGTGCCACTGGGAGGCAGGAATGTAGTTAAAACTTTCCTCAATCATATTTATTAGTATTTTTCATAAAGTTTGAATCAATATATTATTAGAATAATTTGTTAATTTTTTGATATGATAATTCCTTGTGCTTTATAACTGATCGTGTCGTCTTACCTCTGTCATTACTTTTACCACGTTTGACGTTTTTTGTCACATTTCTCATAAGAAGCCATTACGTTCTAATTACTTTGTCATCTTAGGCGTTTTAAACAACTGCATTAATTATCTTGCGCTGAATACAACGAACGTTTTAAATATAGTTTAGGCTGCCAGTCCTTTGTTTAGTTTTAATTTTGACAAAACCTCTTGAATAATGACTAGTCGCAAAAAATATGGTTTAAACACCTCCGATTGAGTATCGCAATGGATTAAGTAGTAAGAGGAATGTTAAACAATATGTTTATGCAAGTGTAATTTTAATTACTTTTTAGGCCTAAAGTGCTAGTCATTATTGTTTATGAGTAGTAAGAGGTGTGAAGTAAGGGGAATATATACAGTATATATGCACACACATACACGTTTTAAGATGACTTCTTGACATACGCGATACAACTTATTCGATTCAGCTTTAAACGCGTCATTTTGCTTTACCACCTTAGGCGTTTTACATCGTTACATTAATTTTCATGTTTTAATAATTAATATTGACTTTCGATATTTCAATATTTTAATGTATATAGTTAACTAAGCATACTTTTCTTGCCTTCCTACATATAAAAATTAGAATACATTGTTTTACCAGTTCATGATGCTAGAAGAAGTCTTCATAGAAATGAATAAAAAACGTATAACCCGAGTAGATTTTTCGAAAGACCTCGGGTTATAGAGTTTTGTATTCATTTGTTTCATCAGTTAGTACGCTCACTGTTAATATCTTCGGCCGTAATCCCAATATTATCATGGCCAAGTGGTTAGGGTGCTGGACTCGCAATCTGAGGGTCGCGGGTTCGAATCCCCGTCACACCAAACATGCTCGCCCTTTCAGCCGTGGGGGCGTTATTATGTCAATCCCACTATGCGTTGGTAAAAGAGTAACCCAAGAGTTGGCGGTGGGTGGTGATGACTAGCTCCCGTCCCTCTAGTCTTATACTGCTAAATTAGGGACGGCTAGCGCAGATAGCCCTCGTGTAGCTTTGCGCGAAATTCAAAACAAACAAACAAATCCAATAATATCTCACAAGGTTCGGCCGGCTTAGAAGATTTAGATTAGTCCTAAATATACACAGCGTGGTCACAAGTAAATAGACACCACCTTTTCCGAAAAAAAATGTAATTTTTCGGTCATATTCACATGAATTGATATATTTATAATTTAATTAATGTCTAGTAGATCTTCCTTTCGCTTCGTGGAGTTCGTTGATCCTTTGGGGC